TTTTGCAGGCGTTTTCTAAACTTGCCAATGATCTCACTTTTACAACTTTTTGCGCTTCTTTGAAATTCCCAGCCCATAAAGATCAATGCAAATAGTTTGAAGTTGATTTTTTTATTAAACACAAAAGAGCCCTTTTTTATTTTACATTGTATTTAGTATTGTGTGTTTGCCTTGTTTCCTCTTTGGTGCTGGGATCTTGTTAAAGGACTAATACTGAGACCCGAAGACATAATGTGGCAGAAAAGATTTGAACTGGTTAAAATAAAATGTTTTAAATTTGAAACCAAAAGTTTGAATGAGTATATCAGTGCATTTTTATGCACTCCATTGTTTTTGAAGGAAATTAAAACATATGGTGATACATATCTTGTATCGTTATTATAGCCCAAATATATCGTGATATTAATTTTTTTCCTACCACATTGATCACAAAGGAATTGTTTGTTGATTTTTGAACTCTAGAATCATCTATAAAATTCTGCTGTTTTAATGAAATGTTAGAGGACAAACGGACAATATTCCTGCACCTCCACAGCATAACAGAAGTCGGCTCCAGCGGTGACGGCCATCATGGACAGGAGGCCCGTTCCAGTCCCGATGTCCAGGACGACCACTCTTTCACCTCTAGCCTTTATTCTGGAAACAGCAGCCCGGATGCCCTCATAGTACTTTTTGTTCTAAAAGAGAGTAAAAATATTCAAATAAACTGTTCAAACATTAACAAAGCTAGATATAAGATGTTAATACCCTTTTTTAATTATATAAAACACTGAGTTTTGGTTGTAAATTGCTGGGCAGTAATACAGTCAGTCGTTGATGAGTTCTAATGGATGACAATAATGAGGCATAAGGAGAATCAATTTATGTCTATTGTGAAAACCATTTATGCCTAAAATGAATGAATTTATGATGGTTGAATGCAGCTGGGGAGCAGAGATGTTCGTGCAGTTCTCACCCTGTCGTGATCGTGCAGCATGTCGGCATAACATGACCTGAAACAGCAACAGAAACACCATCACATTAAATTTCCTGTTAGTTCAAGGAGCACATTTCAATTTAATAAAAAGAAAAATCAAACATGAAAGAAGAATAAAACTTCACAGACATATTTTAAAAAATCTCAAGGGCAGAGGATGGCATGTTAGGAAAGCAGAATTAAGAAACTTCTATGCTCTCAAATGGACCCATACTATTAGGCATCATAAAAAAATAAAATTAGCTGTATTTCACTCTCTTGGTCAATGCTATTTCTATCCACAATAAAACATACATGAATCGGTTTGGACACATACATCTAAGGGGTCTGTACATACACTGAAATTAGGTTTAATCAATTTTCTAATTGAAAATGTCTACTTTTTAGACAAACTTATACCTAAATATATATCCCTACATCCACCTAGAGATATATACCCTTACATATCAAATACTGCGGATGATAATGCTGCTTTCACCTCTACTCGCATCATAGAACATATTATGGTTTACTCTCGTAATTCTTTTTTATTCCGGTTTAATTAAGTTTCTTTTTTCTATTTTTAACAAAATGACCTGCTGGAAGCTTTAATTTTACTTGCAGTTGATGGGTTAAACTTCGGCATTAACATAACAGCTTTAAACTTTATTTTCTTACTTTTATATTTTTTTAATAAATCAGACAATAAAAATATATCCTGAGATGCTTTTTTTTTCAAATCAGAAATAGATTTTTTTTATCCATATCCAAGCTTTTAAACCAGTGTATTGTCAGACCACAGAACTGCACGCAGCGACCCTTCGCTACTGTTTTCCTCCCGTCAGCCTCCCTCCTGGTCGGCTCGGACCCACCTGGCTATCTCCTGGTGGTAATCATACTCCTCGCTCTCCTCCACCCAGTCCAGAGCTCCGGTGGTCGGGTTCGCTCTGCCACAAAAGGGCTTCATGTCTTCCGCAACTCTTGTTCGCGGCGCTTGACATAGAAGAAAAGCTGATTTTAACGGATTATTCACCACAAAGCTAAAGCTTGTCAAGACAATTAACCCAGCGTTGCTCACATGAGCGCCGCCATATTGGCATGAAACGTCATGATCTATTTTGGTCACATGACCAAAGAATAACGTCAAGCAGCGTTTGTTTTTAACGTCGCCAAAATTCTTCTTCTTGAGTTTATTGGCGGTTGGCCAATGTATTTAGATCTGCAAAAGTATAATTGTGTATAGTTTATTTGCGCAAAAAGAATGAATAATTTATTCATTTTAATAATTTTATTAAAATAATGTTCTAAAATAAAACAGTGAACAACGAAAAATAAAAAAAGTAAATTAAAATAGGAAACATAAATAAACAAATACATTATATATTTATTTAAAATGTAAAATTTGTAAAATAAATAAATAAATAAATAAAATAAAGTATTTATTTGAAATAGAAATATCCTGAAATAATAGGGGAAACATAAATACATAGACAAATAAATAAACAATAATTTTTCGTAAAACTACCTTAAAAATATAAAAAAACGAATTAAATGTGTTAATAATGTATTCATTTTAAAAATAAGCTAGAAATACCAAATGGAAAAAAAAATTTAATCACTACCATGAAACTGGAAAATAAATCCTACCTTGCAACATCCTTGAGATCAGGGATTTTATTTTTTTTTTTTTTTTTTTGGTGTTAGAAAAAGGTATTTTTTTCTAAAACTTCTAACAAATTATGAAGATGAACAGCAAGTAGATATGTTACTTATTACTTAGATGGTCTTTTTACCAACATTTTTTTTCCCCTGGAGTAAACATAGAATAAAGTATCGTTTTATTTGGGTACACTGATCCACCTCTTGGTTTGCAGCAGAGATTCGTTTTCACACTTGTTAAAAAAAATACATGTGACGCCAAATGTTACCTGATGCAAAATAAACCTACTTAAATGCATTTATATTATGTGATAATGTGGGCTAATATACTACGGTAACCAGAAATATACCGCTGGGTATGTAAATCTTCAAATATAATCGAAAATATTGTAATATCTGTTCAATAACCAGTAAAAACAGGTTATTGTTATTATTATTCTCCTATTCTGCAGAATCTGTTAGTTCAATCTCTAACCTTCTGCTCTCTCTGCTTTTCCTCAGAGTAGCTTTGCCTCGTCTGTTCCTGTTTGGCTGTGACGTCATCCTGGAAAGAAACATCAGCTGTGCTGCTTCCATCAACACCCTTGTTTATAGATGTTGGAGATCGGCCGGTTTTCCAGTGTGGTCCTGTTTCTCTGACGGTGACTGAGTGGATGTGCTCTCTTCGTCCTCTGGCATGGGAGCTGCCTTGGAGCTCGTCTGCCTGGCTGTGTGTTTCCTGGACGGGGCCGCCTTTTACAGCTGCTTCTTGTATCTCTGCTTCTGTCTCCTTGAACCCCAGTCGGCCTCGGCAGATGGCCGCTCACACTGAGCCTGGTTCTGCTGGAGGTTTCTTCCTGTTAAAAGGGAGTTTTTCCTCTCCACTGTCGCTACAAGCATGCTTAGTGTGGGGGATTGTATTTGAGTCAATGAGTCAATGCAATCAATGGAGATCGGCCTGTTTTCCAGTGTGGTCCTGTTTCTCTGACCGTGACTGAGTGGATGTGCTCTCTTCGTCCTCTGGCATGGGAGCTGCCTTGGAGCTCGTCTGCCTGGCTGTGTGTTTCCTGGACGGGGCCGCCTTTTACAGCTGCTTTTTGTATCTCTGCTTCTGTCTCCTTGAACCCCAGTCGGCCTCGGCAGATGGCCGCTCACACTGAGCCTGGTTCTGCTGGAGGTTTCTTCCTGTTAAAAGGGAGTTTTTCCTCTCCACTGTCGCTACAAGCATGCTTAGTGTGGGGGATTGTATTTGAGTCAATGAGTCAATGCAATCAACTGGTTTTCCTTAGATAGAAAACTTTGTATCAATTTGACTGTATGATCTGGTTGAACTGTAAAGTGCCTTGAGATGACATGTGTTGTGAATTTGGCGCTATATAAATAAACTGAATTGAATTGAACTGGTTTTCCTTAGATAGAAAACTTTGTATCAATTTGACTGTATGATCTGGTTGAACTGTAAAGTGCCTTGAGATGACATGTGTTGTGAATTTGGCGCTATATAAATAAACTGAATTGAATTGAATTAAAATTGTGTCAAAATTGTAGTTACACATCGTTTTAATCGAGATAAAAAAATTCAGAACAAATTAAATTAAACTTTACAGGGTATCTTTTTATCTTGCTCTTTGAGCATTACATTTTTCAACCCAGAAATACTATTTGATGATGTTTGGCTTGTTTAGGCTTTATAATATTTAGAGTTCTTATTTCTCTCATTAGTCAGCTTTGATGGTAAAATGATCTAAAACAACCTCAAATACAACCGACCCCTTTAAAAAAAAACATGAATCCCACTTCGTAGAAACAGTAAATGTTTTGGGGGTTTTTTCACAGCAACATTCATACTCAAACAGTTAATTTATCCAAAATAATCTGCAAATTATCCATAATGTGTAGTTTGTAAATATTGAGAACACATTTTACCAAAGTCTGCTTCTGAAAACATTTATTTAAGCTTTCATGTCTACAGAGTACTCATGAGGAATTTAATTACAAAAAATGATCTTGGTACAAAAACACCGGCAACTAACAAACAACAGAAGAAAAAAAAAAAATACATAAATATAATAAATAGATAAGAACAGGTTAAACACATCTGCTGTAAAAACAAAACAAAAACAAAGCTAAGAATCAACCATGAGAAACAGTGAAGCCAAGTTTATGGAAAATAAAAACCTAATAGTAATGAAAAGAAGTAACGATTTTAAACCAGAGCTGTCATAGAGGATGTGGTTTATTTGATTTAACGAAACATTAAATCATTCACTGGGGATGATTCTCCTGATAGATTCAGATATACTCACTCCTAGATTTACCTGCTCATGTAAATGGTAATATACCTTTATAATCATTCAAATTAGAATAATTTTAACCAGAAACTCAAGTGAGTGAAACACTTAAAACCTTAAAAAAAAAACCTTTAGGGAATTTAACTTGTTCGTATTAAAGCTATAGGATGCCAAATATGAAGTAATGAGGATTTATGAAGCCGGTTTATAACAGATTTTGGGTAAATGGCTGAAAAGGAAGCAGCTGGAGCAGAAAAACCATCACTTAAACAACAACAGACCCTTAAAGCAAACAGAAATAAGACCCGAACCAGCAAGTCACAAACTGTATCCTTGATAAAATGCAGCAGAAACAGATTTATCACCATCCTTTGGTAATAGACAGAAATCTAGACAGAAATAAATGTTTTTCATTGTTCCATCCAGTCAAGCACACTTGGCTGTTGGTAGACAGAAGGCCAAGGTGGAGGGAGGCACCAGGATGTCAGTGAAGATGGGCCGGTATCCCTCTGGAAGAGGGGGGGCGCTCTGCTCCAGCAAGTCCAGCACGGCCCCTCGGATGTCCCTTGAGACGTCACCACGGACGTCCATCAGTACAGAGACATGCTCCTCACTGAGGGAGCAGGAGAATAAAGACACTCCTTAGGAAATGTTTGTAAGTTCAAAACCTAACATAAAACATAAACAAGCAATACATTGCTGATTTATTACACTATAAGTAGCCCTGAGGTGTAAAACACTGCTTTTTGGTAGAAAGACAAAATTATTTGAAATTAACCATTTTTTTCCCTCATCAGTATAAATCTTTTGAACTTTGTTCCACTTTTCTTCATTATGTTTCTTCACTTTATTGACGTTTGTCTCTTTTAGCACCTTTCTCTAAAGGTCCCACCACAGTAGGTCAATCAACCTGTGATGTAGAGTTTGAGTAAGGCCTTTCAACAGATTCTCCAACCCCCGCCATCTATTTTAATAAAAAAAGAGGGCAGGGAGACTGAGAGAAAAGTGTTGCTCATTAAAAGATAAAAATAGCCCACAGCATGATGCTGCCATGACCACGTGTCATGGAGAGGAGGGTGGGATGCAGTGTTAGTTTTTTACCATATATAGGATTACAGCATTCTGATTTAGCAGAGGTTACATTGATTTAAAAGCATAAATACCATCATATGACTGAACCAAAGATTTGTGGGGGATAAATTCTGTCTGGCTACTGTGCATCACTTTATGTGGAAAGCAGGTTACCTGATGTCTGGATATTTTGCAACTAGTCCAGAAACCTCCAGGGTGAGCATGCCGGGGTCTTTGAGTCGGATGAAGTCTGCCAGGACAGGAAGTAGGGCCAAGGGATGTACTTCAGTAGCCGACACCTCGTTTTCCTGCTGATATAGAGACATGCCCCTTTGGGTTTTACTGATTGGAAAGGAACAGATACCAAAGCTGCTATGTGAAGCACAATGCCAGTAAAATGTTAAATTATTATAAAACTGCAAAAAAAATTCTAGAGCCCTTTTCTGATTTCTTGGTGCGACCTTAGAAAAGGAGCTAAATCAGTTGTTTGAAAAAGAAAAATAGCAAAAAAGACACGACTGACTTTTTCCAGGTAGCTCTGTTGTGTGGTTTTCTATTAAGATTGATCTTTTTTTTAAACCACATTGTCAAAAGTTTTGAATCTTTGTGTTGATGAACACAGCAACCAAGTCAAGGCACGTTTATTTGTTAGTTCTGTTGTCCTTCATTTTTTTGCACATCTGTACCTGAGATATGCATCTCTTCCAGTCTATTAAACATGTGACCTTATCTGTATTTGCTATAGTTAGACTTCTTTCTTCTTTTGTTTCATTTCTGTCCAGTTTTCAATTTCCTTCCACTATACTGAAACATGCAGCGAAGTGTTTGGAAAGAGAATCTGGATTTTGACAGGCTGTAATATCACAAGATCAAAGTCGTTAAATACAAGAATAAAGTTGTAACATTACAAGAATAAAGTCATAATATACCAGATTATTATCATAATAATAAAGTCATTACTTAATAAGAACTCTCGTGATGTCATCCCCTGCATTGAAATGATGACTGTTGAGATGTTATACTTTCATAGCCTTGCCAGCCAGATGTATTGATGGTATCAGTCTAGCTAAGAGCTGGTAGAGCTTGATATCAAAGGAGGGACTAACAGGGTTCACCTCATCAGATTAGAACCAATCGGATAACTACGATTGTGATGCAAAAAACTCCAAGGGACGCGCTCTGTTTTTGTCATTTTGTAGTCTGTAAAACATGCTTAGCCATTGTAGAAACTCCCCAGTAGAGGATTTCTGTTGGTTTTGGCTAAAAAATCTGAGGCTATATTCTTAATTTTAATTGCAACTTTACTCAGTTTTCGACAGCTTGATGCACTGAGAGCCAAACCCTCGTAAAACCAAGCCTCCCACACTGATTGGTTCAGCCCGATCTGCCAGGCTAATACCAATATTAATACTAATACAGAGCTGGTCATAATTGTTCAAATATTTTTTCTGAAACAACAAAAATTCTGACAACTTCATTCTATAAAGGCATTTTATTCTCATTTTATTACAACTTTTTTCTAGTAATACTACAACTACTATTATTATTAATAGGCATTCTATTGTTATAGTTGTTTATTATCTTATTATCTATTTGCTTATTAGTTTGGCCCATTGATTACATTTGATTGTAGTTGAAAAGCTGCCTACAACAAACAGACCAAGAATTCAATTAAAATTGAAAATACTTAAAAATGTTTCTTTGTTTTAAAGAATCTCACTGATTCCAGTCAAAATATTTGGTTAAAGTCCAAATTTATACTCCTCACCAGGCTGTGGAAAACTTCTCTGAATAGCTTGTCATCCTGAAGCATCTGCTGAGCAACCAGCCCCCTTTCCTCGCTGCTCCGACACACCAGCTTCTTCTGCATCAAGGCCCGGACGTACTCCACCACCATCAGCCACTGGGCCTCCTCCTGCAGGCGCTGCAGTCACAGAAATAAAAAAACAGAACACATTCAGACATACTGAGTAAAATTCATTCACCGTGGAGGAAACAAGGTTCAAGATCAGTTTTCAGCAGTAAAGAAAAGCTTAAGTTTGGCTGCCTAAACAGACAGTAAAATACAGTAAAGATGTTTTTCTACAGTAATTATATCACTTAAACTTTTCCAAATTTTGTCACGATTTAGGATTTAGTGTTAGAGACCAAATATAAGTAGTGATTGGAAAGTAAAGTAGAAATATCAGATTTTATTTATTTTTTAATAATAAAAATCTGAAAAGTGTGGCAGCATTTATGTTCAGCCTCCTGAGCCTATACCTTTCACTGCACAGCTAATGCTTGTTTTTTTTTTTTTTTTGCTTTTTTTTTCTCCTATCTTTTTAACACACCCAGAGACTGAATTTGTTGCTCAGTCAGACGGGATTAAAGCATCTGTAAACTCATTTATTAACCTTTCCATAGATTCTCAGTGAGATTCAGGTCTGGGCTTTGACTTGGCCTTTTGTATTGATGTCCTGCTGAAAGGAGAAATCTCTTTTCAAGTGTTTTTATCTACATGGTGTTTTTTTATGTTGACCAAAAGGACACATTTTCATCCCATCTGATGAGAGCGCAATATAGGGGAGTGTTGCCCTATGGGTTAGAGCAGTGCGCTTAGGCTCTGAGAAGGTTGCAAGTACCCGGTTCAATCCCCACAGCCTCCAATCTTGGTCACTGAGCAAGACTCTTAACCCCTACACTGCTCCCCAGGGCACCGCACAATGGCAGCCTACTGCCTCCATATGGGATAGGTTAAATGCAGAGAGTTAATTTCTCCATTGGGAGATCAATACAGTTCAATTTTTATCCTTTTTTCTTTCTATTTCATTCTGATGTCTTGCTGTTTCTCCCCCGTGGTTTTTAGGTACACCTATGACTTACTTTCAACATTTATTCTCTTTTTGAAATCAGCTTCATTTTAATGCAGTTTAATTACTACATTTATGAAGTTTAACAATGCATAGATCTGTTTTACCAAATATTTTTACCAACCCTCCTTAGTATTTAATGAGAAATTGCCACTGTTTACAACGAGCCTCCTGGGTGCTTCTTTGATTACTGCTCTGCTTGCTTGACCTGAGCGTTTAGATGGAAGATCACGTCCTAGTTTGTTTGCAGTTGTTCCATACCAGATGATTGTCTGACCCGAACTCTATGATTTTTTTTTTTTTTTAGTTTTAGGATTTTGCTGCTTGTTCAGAAAACTTGATCCAACATCGGATCAGTTTTTCACTAATGTTTTCTTAAAAACTTCCAAGGCTCTGTGGCCCAGGGAGAGAAATCTCAGATGATTAGACGGTAATGTGACAAATGAAGAAAAAGTTTAAGCAGTTAAGAACTGCTCAAAGTAAAGTGTTCAGAGTGATTTGGTCACCTGCCCACAGGGCGGTCGCACTCGTCCGTACAAATCTAAGTGACTTTCCAGGACGCTGCAGAGTTTGGGGACTGGGTCTCCCTGGACCAGCCAGGGTCTGGTCAGCAGGCCGGGGAGGAGAGGCTTAAGTTCCAGCAACAGTTGATCCATCACCAGGCGACACGCCCTCCTCACCGCCCGGTCCAGAGCTGCCAGAGGGTTGGGGGGAGTCCGAGAGAACTGCCCTGCAGAGCGGGACGACTGCTGCTGCTGCAGGCTCTCTGTGGATTTTCTACCATGAGAACAAGATGCAGCTGAACGTAGAAATGTGGAGTAAAGTAGAACAAGAAGGTTTAAACTGAGAAAATGTCTAACTTTAGGATGATGCAGTTGCTGATTGAAGCCAGAAGGTAGTGGAGGTAGAACTTATTCTTGTTGTTGGCTGGATCCCTGCGGTGCTCTTTCCCAAATTCAACCAGAGCTTCTCGAAACCTGGTGGTTATATTAAAGAAAAGCATTTTCTTGTTAATGGAGAGCAAAAAATTGGAATTAATTTTTTTATTATTGTCACGAAAAGAAGACGCAGAAAAGGGATGGATAAAAGCTATAAAATTTGGGGAACAAAACACACCTATTAAGGAGGTTCTCTATCTCATACAGTCCCATTTGTATGGTCTGATCTCGCAGCGACTCCCCAATCATCAGAGCCACACGGGCGTTCTCCCCTAACATCTGGAGCAGAAAAACACAATGAGACAACTGAAAAAGTCATAATTACATAATGTCTGCACAGTAGGAGGATCCAGGAGATACATATATTGATAGATATGACCAGATTAATGAGTTTTATGTCAATCTTTCCAGTTATATTATCAGAAGTTTTGTCACTTAATCACTTATTGTCATTTATTTTTTGCATTTAAACATCATGTGATCATGTGATCAGTGTTAGCACAGCATCCTTTTGTGCAGACTTCTTACCTGTGTGATGATGGTGGGCAGACTGGTATGGTAGAATCCTTCATGGTCTGTGTCTGGCTCCTCATCTCTCTGCCAGTCTTGCAGCTCCACCTGCAGAGCTTTGTGCATCCACTCAGATACGCTCTTCTGCAAACACACAGAAAAGAGCTGTAGATGTCAGAGCAGCGCTCTCCAAAAGCTGCATAGGCCTTGAATTTTCACATCTCCTCACATTACACTAGCATTCGTGGAGTAAGGCACAAGAAAGTGGCATAAAACTAGAAGGAGACTAATAAGAGGTCCTGTTTGCAGTTTGGCAGGAAACATGTGGAGGAAATCCTCAGGCTAAAAACACCACAGGTTTACCCTTTAAGCCCTAATAGGAAAGAAAATGGTGGTGGTGGCATCATGCTGTGGGGATGTTTTTTTTTTAAAAAGGCACAAGGATGTTGGTCAGATTTGATAGGAAGAGACAAGGGAATCCTCAAAATAAAGCTGTTAAAGAAGGGTTTCCAAAATGTGTCTGATGAGCCATTTTGGCCCTAGGAAGGATGATTTCTGGTCCTCGCCTTCAGTTCAAGAATGTTATAAATATCCCATCAAGACTGGAGGTTGATGTAGGTGAAACCTTGTTTTTTAGGGTGAGATTATCATTGATGTGAGGTGTTTAAGACAAAATACATAGATAATTTTTCTATAATATTATAGAAAATGTTAGCTGCTAAACAAAATATTTTATCATCTCAACAGCTACATGAACAAAACCATGTTCTGTTCTTTTTTTTTTAAGAAAATGTTAACACGTCCAATTGAATGTTTTACATGATTGTACTCTGATTTTATTTATTTGGACTATTAAAAAGGTTATTTAATACTGTATTTTAGGCTGTAGAAGATTTGAGATTTAAGTTCATTTTCCATAAAATTACTTTAAAGATACAGTCAGAGCTGTATGCCAGTCAGCCAGCCAGCTAGCCAACCAACCAATCAAAAAAACAAAAAACACTTTTGCACAGGGTATTGTTGCCACTACTGGGCATATAAATCCAAACAGCAAAAACTTGTTACACAGAGGGTGTTTCTTTTTTTCACCCACAACATCTAGTTTGGAACAGACACTATCAACATTCTGTTTTAACTTTGTAGAGTTCTTAACTGGGACATTATCAGGTGGAAACTGTTATAGATGCAACCAAATAGACAACTATTTATAATAAGCCTTTAGCTGGTTTCTTGGTGCCTCTTTTTAAGGACTGCTTCTGACTGGGTCATACGCTGAGTTTATTAATTGCTTGGAATGGCCCAGTCAAAGCCTGGAGCAAAATAAAATAAAGAAATCTTAGCAATGCTCCAAAATTCATGTCCACAGATATTTTCTGGACAATTTCACTTAGCCTTAGCTAATAAGAATCAGTAGTAAAATGAGACTACACACCAGTAAACCTGCAGAGCCATGCAGCTGTTATTGCAGATAAAGGATCTCCGTTGGCCTTTTTATGGCTGGAATCAGGGAAAAGGAGCAAAAAAATGTGCACTCTGATCTAGTGCTATTTGATCCTCAGAGTAGGTTTCCATTCGATTCAGATAAAATATTTAAACTTCTTATTATACATGTTGCATTTTGTGTATTTAACAGCATGTGAAGAATTAGAATAAATCTGTTAAACTTCCCAAATCTCTCATGGGCAGCATTTTTCAGCTGCATACAGATATTCTTTTATTCTGAGAGATCGTTTCTACTCGACTCACCCGGACACTCTGCACGTATTTGTTCTGCAGCTGCTCCAGTCCCTCTGTGGAGATGAGGGGCCCGAGCTCTGCTCTCTCTGTCTCTTTGACCAGCTCTGGATGTCCCATCATATCTGGACTGCCAATAAGAAGACAACATGTGAAACATCCAGCATATCAGGATCCTTTAATTAATTATTAATTGAAATGTTGCACGCATGAATCTGTGTGAACCCATAAATTTAGTTCGACACGTCTTAGGAAAGCAGAATTTTTAAAGTGAGACAGTATTTTCAACTTGCTTGTAAAATTGAATAACAATTTTATTGAAATATACACCTACAGCTTTCACTGACTATATAGTTTTCAGTACTGGCCTTGACTATCAGAAAGCATTAAAGATCCTTGCCATTGATGAGGGCTCCTAAGGCTTAGAGCCTCCAAACCTTAAGAAGAAATTCACCAATTTTTAAGCTGGCCGATTAAAAGTTCTTGAAGAAGCTTGATCAAATTTCTCTAATGAAAACAACAATTTATCTACTTAATTATATTTAGTTACTTTAACACAATAATTTTATGTTAAAAATGTAAATAGAACTATTGTGTTAAAGTTAAGTATGCTTAAGTAGATGCAAAAAGAGGTATGAATAATTTTTTTTCAGTTCTGGTTAGAATTGGTTTTAGTCTAGCGTTCATAAGTTCTAGTTTTCATAAGTTCATAATTTTTAGATGCAGGATTCAAAACTGTTTGATTATTGTAATCATAAAAATGCAAATATAAATAATTAAAAAAAACACAACAAAAAACTGGGTACATTTAAGCTGACTTTAACTGAGTCCTGTGGAAGAAAAACATAATTTAAAATCAGTTTGCAAAGCTTCTAAAAAAGGATACACACACAAATAGTGTTTATATCTATAAATTTAGTATGTTTTATTAAATCAATTATATACACAAGGTTTCAGTTAGTCATAGTTTTTACCTTTTGTATAGCTTTTATTTATTTAATTTAACTGAAATATTAAGTCGATTTTTCTACAATAACCCTGAAATGCAGAGATACAAAAGGCCAAACTGGAGCCTTCATAAGTGATTTCCACATAGTTGTGGAGGATGGGATGTATGCATTTTTTTGTTTTTGTGGAGGGAGGTGGTAAGGAGGGAATTGGAGTAATTCTGATTTAAGTCTCTGTAAATAAACTTAATCTATTCTACCCCTGAAAATGTAAAAAAAAGAAAAAAAGAAAACTCTATGGATCTTTGTGTGAAACAAACACAGTCAGGTCAATTCAAAATGAAGAGATAAATATTCTAATATGAGCAGTTGGCCATTCATAATCAATGTGCTGCTGGTGGAGAGCCTCACCTGTTGTAGATGTGCAGAACCCAGTTGAGCACAGCAAATATTTCACCGCTCTCCAGATCCCAGCTGCTAACCTAGGCCACAAACAACACTCAGATGCGAAGGTGCCTTAAAAGAAGATGCAAGTCACGACTTGAAAGACATATTATATTATATTTAATACATATTATATATATAACTTTAGTAAACAAATTAGTTTGTGTTTAATGCCTTCTTAGAAATCAGGATAAAGGGGTCTGTGTTTTATTTTAACAACTGTGAAACAGAAATGGTGCAGAAATTACTTTGAAATATCAACACACAAATCCCGAAAAGATGCAGCTTTAACAGAGGTCCTATTCCCACCTCCTTTTGCAACAAAATTCAATTTTTCCGCAACTTTCATGATTTCTTTCCTATCTTTTTTTTATTCTGAACATTAAAGATCAAAGTATTAACCTTGAATTTATTTATTAAGGATTATTTAACTTTTGTGATCTAGATCAGTGATTCCCAACAGGGGGTAGTCGTACCCCTAGTGGCCCGCAAGTGCATTGTAAAGGGTACAAGAACATAGTTTATTTCTCAGATAATAAAATAACTACTTTGTGAGGAGCCAATTAAAAATTAAAACAAGATTTTTTCAACTGAAAAAGTATGTTTTTTTCTTATAAGTTTAAGTTTGCTTTGGAACAAATCAAAACAAAGCAGAGGAACAGACTGGATGTCAGGTGTCATAAATGATGAAAACAAAGTAAAATAAATGGAGTGAGTCTGGCTATAGGTTTTGTTCAGTATTTTGTCCCCATTTCCTCAAGATTAAATGCGTTTTAGGGGAATTACTAAGAGGAGATCCAGTTTTACCAAGGCAGATTTATAGTATGATTCTTTGTTGTATTTATTCTGATTCCTTATAAACTTCTGAGCAACATATTTATGTTTTTTTTTTTTTTGATTTGGAAAGAATAGAATGCCAAAAAATGAAATGTTCAAGTTAAAAAGATTGAATAAATACTTTTAATTTTATAATTAGTCATTGCACATTCCACTTTTGGGAAATCATTAATATTTTTGACTGAGGGGGGTGTACTCACGGTGAGACAAAATGCCCAAAGGGGTACACAAGACAAAAAAAAACATTTATCTAGATAATGGAAGGAGGGTGTCAGGATGTTTTTTCTCAGTCACAGATGAAGAAATACCCTTGTTAAAGAGTTTTAACAGGTGTTACAGGTGAGCATCACTGACCTGTGCCAGGTGAGTGTGTAAACAGCGGTGGCTGGCCCTCAGATAGGCTGCAGTCAGCTGGTAATGTGGTGGGACGCAGTGCTCCAGCAGGTGGCGTACTGTGGCCAGGTCAGCCATGACAGCGTGCTGGAGAGCAGAGAGGTGGCCCGCCAAACCTGGCCCACGTGTGTGCAGGTAGGAAACGCTCCGAAAACGTGCAGAGACCGCCTCCTCAAGTACCTGAGGTGAAGACAATGGGATAGATGACAAAGTGGAACAGAGGTGTAATTTTTTATTTTTTGTCCTCATCGGGTAATGCAGACCTGGAAGAAGCGAGCTCTCCAATGGCGAGGTCGTCCTGCAGGCAGGGACCTGCTGCTGCCTGCACCCCCTCCTCTCTCTGCCAGCAGAGCTTGGTCCAAGGCCTCCTCCCGCTCCACTATCCTCACTGCTGATACAAACGGCGTGGGATTCTGACGGGCCAGAGCCAGAGAGCTGCTCACCACTGCCCACAGCTCCTTTCCTGGCGTTAAAGAGCAGATGAGGAAGTTAGGGCCCTAAGGTTGTCACTGCATTGCTTTCACAGTGGTGCCGCTTCATCCCATAATTCCTGCTTCTTTTAGGATGATTTTAACAGTTTAAGTTGAAGATCTTTCATGAACTAAAAATAGATGAAAAAATGTTCTGGGGAAAAAAGAAACAAGATCTGATTCAAGAGAAAGGACATTAGTCAATGGTCAAGTACAAACCAAGAATCATCAAGGCTCAAGGCTTGCATAATCTGAAAAATGTTGGAAAATTAGCGTCCCTCTTCAAATGAACGCAGGTTTAAAATGACCACAGAGTTACAATTTTCACTCTGAGAAAATAAGAGAGAACTTCAACCTCAAATTACATGATGAACATCTGGATAAACCTGAAATATATGGAAGTAGGGGAGACTGATGACGGTTGTAACAGTTTTTAAACTCTTTTTACTCCATAGAAAAGGAACCTACATGATTCACTTGTTTATATTATGATTAAATGGGAGATTTTTTTCACATTATTCACTTAAGAAAAAAAAAAGTCAACTGTTACTATTGAACCCATCCATGTTACGGCTGTAACACACCATCACTCTACTCAAATTGATAAATCGACTTAAGTTTTTCTCTCAATGAGAACATGATTAATAGAATTTGTGTGTGTGTGTGTGTGTGTGTGTGTGTGTGTGTGTGTGTGTGTGTGTGTGTGCCAAAGTAAGCCTGGATAAGATCCAACTTTTGGAAAAGTCTTATCCAAACCTCCTATCTGAAGATCTGGGAACTGTGCTTAAAAGCTGTGTCTGTGCCAGGAAAAGAGGCAACTAAAAAAAAACAAAACAACAACTTGAAAGGAGAAAAATGTAGCTCAGGATTCATGTAGAGTTATGTCAAAGGCTTCTAGTTCATAAACAAGCACATGATTTCTTTCCAATCTGCTAGGGCGCCCTTTAGTCCAATATTAATGTGGATTTAAGGTTTGAGCCTGTATGTATACTTCTAATTATATGTTTTGTATAATTATTCTATCTAGGTAAAACAAAAGCCTAAATGAAATAGCAGAATTCATTAAATAATGATGTCTATGATGAGTGAATGTTCATGTCTGAGTAGCTCTTCATTTTTTTTATTTCACAAAATTGACCCTATAACTGTAATCATCTAGAAGTGAGCTCATAACATGATTTAATTTATACTGAAAGAGTTTATTCTGGTGGAAAATTAAGGAATTGATTCTCAGCATTGCTTAGTCTACTGCGTCTCAGAGATGTCCTCACCCAGGGCGTCCACCAGCTGTCCCACTCCGGAGAAATATTTGGCCACCAACTCCTTGTCTTCACTGCTGAGTGAACTTGCTGACATGCCAGACGCCCCGTGAAGCTGCCAGAGGATGTCATCCTGCCAGTGCTCCAGATCCATCAGACGGGCGTGGGCCTCCAGGAGCCTCCTGGACTCCACCAGGCGCTCCGTCTCCAGCACCATGCTCCGTACTGTAGAGAGCCAGGAAGGGAATACAAACTGTTAAACTCGATAAAAACCTCTTAGGAAGTGAATAACCTCTTGACAATGTTGTCACTTAACACCATGAAATAGTACGGTAATTATAAAATTTTTAATAATGGCATGAAGACAACTAAAGTAATAAATTATTTCTTAATAACTTTTCTAATGTTCAGGGTTTGTGTATTTTTTTATGGAAGGCACCGAACAAAAGAATGAAACTAAAAACAGGCCAATAGTTCATCATTTAATATATTAGGTGAGCCAAAGAGCAACTTGCAGCTCTGAGTACCTAAGTTGTGGCAGATAAAAAACTGCGCTTCTGTCTGAATATGACAGAAGCTAAACATAGAACAACTTAATTTATTCCTTTGTCATTAAAATAAAACTAGAAAATAATATATTTGCAATTTATTGGCCAATGCAGGGTGTGTTCTGGCCCCTGTCTAGAATCACCCATGTAAGATGCCATTAACATTGCAGCATGCCTAATACTGAGCATTTAAGTAGAATAAACCTGCAGTAGGACCTGGCTTAGAGTAATATTTTGATCAAGCTGAGGAGTGACCACATTTTTTTGTGCCGTTAACAAGCTTTCTTTTGGTTAGTGGCCCAATATGAGCATGTGTTAACCTCTGACCAGAACTCTAGAACATCATTTATATACAGTAAGATAATTTCTTAGAGCTTCTCACTGGCATGTAGTCGAGGTAGGTTGCTGACAGCAGCAAAGAGCTGGCGGTGGTCAACGGACACATCTCTCAGCTTCTGCAGGGATATTAAACAGTCTGTGTTTCCATCTGACTCCAGTCCTGCTTCCTTCAAAGTGAGCGACACCTCCCTCAGCTCATCCCGGGCCTCCCGGAGCTGCTCGAGACCCCAGCCGACTCCCTCCAGGTACGACTGGACCATAGACTGAAAAAAAAAGGAGCCCAGGAGGTTTTGTTGGCTTTAAAAGTGCTACAAATACGGAGCTGCAGGCTTTCAAGTTGATACAGATCATGTATTTGCACAGCTTTGCACAGGAATAGATTAATAAAAAAAAAAACATACTAAGTATATGATTTTTTGAAAAGCAAACATAAACTCAGTTGGCTGAAAAATTATTACATTTGCCCCTCCATAAAGTCAGTGAGAAAGTTTATCTCCTCAATGTCATACATTTCTTCAAGAAATGCAATCATTCATCTTTTTTTGGACATTCCTCAATTTTTCCATCTTCTAATTATTTCTTTTTTTACTATCTAATAACATTATTGTAGATGTATGCAACATCTGCTAACATTGCAATTATGCCTCTGAAAAGGTCACAGTTGTATTAGAATGGCTACATCTTTAAGCACCTGCTGAGTGATGCAGCACAATGGCAAGACAAAGACCTGTTAGGTTTGATCTCCCATGCAGATGTGAATCATTCTGTCCTGACATGCTCTGTGCATGTTCTGTGTCGCTACAATTTCTAGGCAGAGCAGCATTCGATCTTAAACAACCACAACCTGAAGAAATCTGCTGTAGGATGGTGGAAGAGGAGACACATTTATATTGATCTGCACAAACCCAGACATTTCACTATACTGAGCGCATGAAAAACAACCATAAAGGTGTTTGTGTGGAGCAGCCCTTACTGTTTAGATAGGACTGAAGTGTAGGTATGTATTCCCCAATGCCTGTATACTTCTTGCACAAAGGTCTGATTCTGGCATTAACCCTTTTTAAAAATACACTTGTAGGCAAAGAGATGTTGAGAGCATCAGAGTTTTATGGACATTATGGACTCTACTGCACATCTAAAAGATGATAGATACGTTCTCAGATGTTCTGCAGCTACATTTCCCAATAACATCTCTGTGGCAAAGCAAAGGATCCATGGTTTAATAAGGAAGTTATTAAAAAACTCATAATTTTGCAAATAGTATGTGTCCTACCTAAGAAAAAAGATAGACCAGGGATGTGCAGAAGAGGTGTCAGAGGTGGAGTTGGAAGGACAAGCAGGAAAAGTGTGGTATATCCCACATCATGGTGTATACCATCTAAGAAAAGAAGCTCTAGGAGTGCTTTTTTGACTGTGGAGCCACTTTTAAAGGAAGATCTCTCAATAAGGAGTTAGTACAAGGTCCCAATCTCACCAGCTCTCCCTTCTTTGAGTCCTTATTAGGTTTAGACAGAAGTCAGTAGCATGTACCGACAAAATACATGTTAGGTTTTATCAGGTGAGGGTTTCAAAGCACCATAAAGATCTTCTTTATTTCTCTTGGTGGCAAAATGGAGACCTGAATAAAGAAATTAAGTCATTGACTGTTCATTTATTTGGTGGGGTGTCATCATCTAGTTGTGCCAGCTATGCATTGAGGAAGACAGCTGATGACAGCAGAGCTGATTTATCTGATGATGTGGTGCAAGTAGTTGAACAGAATTCCTATGTGGATGACTGCCTAATCAGCTTCGGGTCAGAGGAAGAAGCAAAACGGATGATGAAGGATCTTGGAGTTCACTGTTGGAGAGGAGATTTTACTCTGGAAAAGTGAATCAGCAATAATTGAGAGGTTTTGCAAAACATTTCAGAAGATAGAGGGCAAAGGATCTAAAAGAGCTTAACTTGGGTTGGGACAACTCTCTATGGAGAGACCTTTGGAGCTACATTGAAATCAAATAGCTTCAAGTTCACAATTGCAGTGAAACAGCAGTATCTCTGGAGGTGTGGTATGTTCTCAGTAACCAGCTCTGTGATGTTGCTTTGGGCATTCTTGCACCTGTCACTCTTTCTGCTAAGATGTTACAACAGGAACTCTGCAAAAGAAAATGTGGATGGGATAAGGCATTACCTCCAGACATAAAAAATATATATATTTCCTGGACTCTAGAACTTGTGCTCCTGACATCTTTTCAGTTAAGTCAATGTATTTAACCAAAAGACTTCGGAGAGTCTGTTCATACAGAACAGCATTACTTTGCTGCAAAGATGGCTATGGAACTGTGTCATATATTCAGCTGAAGAACTCCCACAAAGAAATCCACATTGCAGTCTTATTGGGCAAGGCACGAGTAGGACCAATTAACTCCATCACAATACCTCAACTGGTGTTAACAGTTGTCATCCTGGCTGTTCCAGTGGATGCCATACTGAGAGCGGAGCTGCAACTTCAGATTGGTGATTCTGTGCTCTGGACTGACTGTACATCATTGTTGAAGTACATCCACAATGAAGACACAGATTCTAAGTGTCTGTAGCAAACAGACTCTCCGTTATAAGAGAGGCTTCACATCATTCTCAATGGACGTATAATTGCTCTAAGGAAAATCCAGCTTATGCTGTGTCAAGAGCAATGAAGATAACGGACTTCATTGAACATCACACCTGGCTTGAAGGTCCCAAGTTTCCATGGAAATCGGAACAGGAACAACCAGAAGTTTCTTTTGATTCTATGTTGGAAGGTGACAAATCTCAGGTCCGCAAAAGTGCAATTGTGAACTTGACATCAGTTAATGCACCGTATCGGATTGGCTCATCGGTAACTTCTTTAGGTAGTAAAAGTTGAAGAAATTAGTTGCTTGGCTTATCAAATTAAATCCATCCAACTCAAGTGTTGCAGGAGGAGAAATATTACTATTGAGTCCTCTCAAGATGGCAGAGAAAACTTTCCTGATTTATCCCAGGCAAAATTTGCCATTATAGTCAGCAACAGCAGTTCAACGAAGAAATTGCTGGATTGGCAGAAAAGGTGGTGATTAGCAAACATAGTTCCATTTATAAGTAGGATTTAACTTTGGGGGAAAGTCTTTTACACATTGGGAGAAGATTGAGTAAAGGAGCCATGCCACTGCAGGAGAAACATCCCTCATTCTTAGCAGGCATCAACACATTTCCAAGCTCTTCCTCAGGCCTACTCACAAAACATTAGGTCACAGTGGACACAATCATAATATGGCTGTTGTAAGGAGGAAGTATTGGATTCTTCATGGAAATCTTGCAGTGAGAAAAGGGATTTCTGAATGCAAGTTTTGCAGACGCCACAATGCAAGACCAGTAGATTAGAAGATGGCAGACCACCCAAGGCAGAGAATTACTCCTGATTTTCCTCTAGATTCTGGTGGCTGTATAGATGCTCTGTGTCACTTCATCAGCAGAAGAGGTCAAGTTGTTAACATTAGGTCAGACAATCTAACAAATCTGTAGGGACTGCAAAAGAACTGGAAGAAGCTCTGGGTGCATTAAATCATTAAATCAGGAGAGGATTCACAGGACTCTCATTGCCACTGAAGTAAAATTTAGTTTTAAGCCACCTGCAGGACCTCACCATGGTGGCATCTGGGAGCATATCAAACTGATAACAGAACATCTTTTAAGCTCAGTTTTGCAACAATAATCTGTGGATATAGATGGACTCAGCACAATTATTGGTGATATAGAAGCCATTCTTAACAACCGCAAAAATTGCAAAGCTGTCAGAAGACCCAAACGATTTGGAACCTCTTACACCTAATTAGGAAAACCAACGCTTCCATCTGGAATTTCTGACACAACAGATCTGCATGCAAAACAATACTGGAAGCAGATTCAGTACACTTCCAATCTATTATGAGGGCAAAGTGCCAGGGAATACTAACAATTACTCCAAGAAAAGCAAAAAGGGAACCAAAAATAAATTTTATTTCGTTTTTGGGGACATAATCAGTGACTCTTTAGCAGCATGAGGCTCTTGGTGTTTGGGAAGAGTCTTAGAGGTAATGGGAGACCACCAACCAAGACCAAGAAGTACTGAGACTGAGACAAGGCCAAGACCTTTAGAGGAAGAGACCAGGACCTTGATCTTAGATGGCCTTGTCATACTACTTGGTCTCAGTTGCTGTGGTCTCGACTACAACACTATTGTTCGCACTGTAAAATTACAAGCAAAGAATGGTGTTTTTGATCACCCATCAACAAATTGTGTCTTTTGCATGAAATTTAACTTATGGTATTGAGTTGAACAGTTGTGGCTTGTAATACATATTGTGGAATTGTTATGTCTACCATTAGGGGGTAGTATGCAGAAGCCAATGTATGCAAAGTCTATAAAAGACAGGAAATGATGTGTGCATTGGTGTGTTTTACACTGGAGAAATCAAATCAGTTTTGATAGTTTGACTGAAAAAACGGTGTCACAACCCAGCAGGCCGTTTTATATTTTCTTTTGTTAGTAAGATTGCTAAAGTTAGAATAAATCCGCTTTTAACTGCAAGAGCAGTGTTTGGACTATCCATTATTTACCATCTCACCCGCCTAATGTGTGTCAACCATAAGATTCTGGTTGAGAAATACACCAGTGAGTTTAAACATTGACTTAGCCCCTTCAATTATCTTAGCAAGATATTCCTCATCATAGTCTCTTTCAAATATATGCCAAAAACATTGAGAAAAAAATCATAGCAAATTTCCTGACCAATAATTTATTGAATTATTAATTCCTACCAATAAGGCTGAGGAGCCTGACAGTCCTAAAAATCATCGAAAGGATCAGATTGTGTTTCAGTGCATCATCTTTTATCTCTAAGTGGCGACATTAGTTCTCTGACCTTCAGTCTGGTGTGGATGGAAGCCGTCCTCTGGATCTCTCTCTTCTTATACTGGCTCAGTCGCTCCAGATGTTCTGGCCTGCAGAAAATTCCAGATGCCCACTTTAGAGCAGCACCGCGGGCCAGACACTCTGCCCGCTCCACCTCTGGCCATACAGCAGCCTCTGTTCATGTTTGAAAAAAAACAACAACAAACAAACAGAAGCACAGATCATAAGATATAGAGGAGCAACATCTTTAGCTGCTTACATATGATCAATCTAGAAATTTTCCTAGGAGGAATGTGGGTTTGACCCTGACACTAAATGAAAAGATGAGGAAAAATAACAGAGAAATAAGAAATAATAATTATTACAATTACCAGCAATGAAAAAAATGGGACCAAAATAGCGATCTTGAGGGAAGAAATTAGGATTTAAAATATATTTAAAATGTTTTCCTCGTTCACACCTAAATTGTCTGTGCTAAATTTCTAGTGTTGGTTTATAAGGTGCAGTAAACAAACCCCCTCATCTGTTTATGACTGAACCAATGAAGTGAAATGCAGATGGAGAGGACAAAAATCAGCTTCTAAATGATGAAGATGCTTAAAAATGCTTCTAAAAGATCATTTTTCTTCAACCTTAAAGTGCATCACGTTGTGTTGTTTCATTACTGTAGCTTTATGAAATATGCAAAATTTCAAACGGTGTAAATGATTTAGCAAGACACCGTATTTCCTTTTCCTTGTGTCATGTTTTTATTCTCCAACCAAAGTCCTTCCTTTTGACATGGTCTCAGCTTTCAGTAAGAACAGTGAGAGAAATTACACCTTTGTTTCTAAATGACAAATAGATTAAAATCACAATCAAATCACAGCTTCGGACAATCGATTCGGAGCAAAACGCTCCCAGCTGGGAACAAACCTCAGTGGATTTATTTTTCTGCAAACATTTTTGGAAGCAGAGCTGCAGTTGCAACAGAGCTAATGACGGCAGTGATCAAGATAAACTTCTCAAAGGAGCTTTAATTGACCAGCTGCAGCTTTTCTGTCATGGGAAAAGTTTTCTGCCCTGTTTTAAAGTGACGTTGTTCTGCCTCTGAACCTCTAAGCCTGCCTGTCCCCATTCTGATCTGTTTGTCTGACCTGTCCACAGACTCCTGCCAGATTTCTGCCTGTCTGTGAACCAAACCTGGAACAGTTTCCCAACTCCGTTCTGGATTTCCCTTCCCTTATGAGAAATCTGTCTGCCTCGAATACTGGGTCCTATTTTCCTGAGCTTGACAGGATCCGTTGTTCCACTCATGGAAGTGTTGTTTTTGTAAACACTCCTAGCAATGATAACCAATACTTTAACAGGTAATTGTATGAAATGGATAATTACTCTAAAATTATTTATTTTCTAAAAGTGCCAGTTAACAGGAGCACTTTATTATTTGTGTATTATAATGTATTTATCTAATCAATATAGTAAAAAGTCAATTTGTCTCATTTATATATAATACTCTTAAACAATCAGTAAGATGCATTGTATAAACAAATTTTAAAAAATCAATAAAGTAATAACAGTAGGAGTAACACTGACATATTTCAATGCTTATTCAATTAAAATCTAACAACTTGTAATGTAATTCCATTAAGGTGACCTGAATATTTCTGACCATACAGATGTATAATTTTATTTCTTCTAATGGGAGTGGCGCCTAGTGGTTAGGGCAATGGGCTTGGAATCCTGAGGTTGTGAGTTTGAAACCCACTCTCACAGACTTGGTCTCTCAGCAAGACCCTTTAGCAATGATTGCTCCCTTGGTGCTGCACAGTGCCAGCCACTGCTCCCCAAAGGGGATGGGTTAAAGCAGAGAGTTAATTTCTCTATTGTTTAATTTATGATTTTATTTATTTAATACGTATTTTCACCAAAGGATGAAATAGTTGCAAGCAAGGAGGAATGTTAAATCATTTGAAGCTGAACTTTGTCGAGCTAATTGACAGATCATCACATAAGTCAAAGCATAAGCATGCAAAGCAGATGGGAGAGAATTTGAAATAAGGTGTCTCCATTAAGCCTCTTAATGGAAACAAGCTTTTACTCTAGAAGACAGAGGAGACGATCCGCTGTTATCTGACCAGTCAGTTGGCCTGGACTTCATTTCTTCATTTCTAGTCAGGGAGAAGAAGCTGAGCGGCCGTCACATGACAACTCCTTCAGGCTAAATAACATCCCTGGTTGGCTTTAACCGAACAACAACCTCATGAATGACTCAGTGAAGAGAGGCGTTTAGAGCAGGTCAGAAACGCATCAACCAAAACAGTTTCTGCTTGTGCAGATACTAGGATATCTCAATTACACAAACAGGCCCGTCTCTGTCTCTAAAGGGGGTCATGGGATACCCTGCTATCTCCCTAACGACGCAAATCTGATGATGCTGAAACATCGTCATCAGCTAAATGGCAACACAATGAGCCACTGAGCTCCCTTTGCAGGAAAAATGATGATCCTAATGTAATCTACCTCTGCAGTGGAGCAGAGCCCAAAGCGAAGCCAGACAGAAAACAATACAGCAGTTATGCACTGATTAAAAAACAATGATACTGCTTCAGTAGGGAAAAAGCCGTTCTAACGATGACTCAACAAACATATCTGAAGCTTGAAGATCCACTGCATGCTTATAACAGATCTGCTTTCTGTAAAATAGTTTCTTTATCTGACTGTTTAGTTTGGTTTGGTGACAGCAATTAACAGGTTAACTAATCAGAACAGAGTTTAGAACACCACACATTAGACTAGATAAGGAAAAATTTCTGTAAACCTACCCAGACTCTACAACGACCAGCAGATGCTATCTGTGTGCCAGCTGGTTTGTCTGGGAGGCACGTCAGGAAATTTAATATTTTTTTGTTCTTCTATGACAAACTTAAACACGTGGAGTTTTCTAATCTCTGCTCAGGCTTTAACTGGAACCTGGTCCTTTGGTCAGATAAGGTTTTCAGTAAACAAACACTTCAGGTGGACTTCATGTGAACAAACAATGAATAAGTGAAAAGGATCCAATGCCTATTGTTAAGCATGGAGGAAGACCTGTGATGCTGTGGGGTTTTTTTCCTTCTAAAGGCCTTGAAGACTGTCAGAGTGCGGAGGTATCAAAATATAAAAAAAATGTGTTTTTACATGTATATGTACATATTTTTATAACCTTTAGTTGCCATTAACAAGTCATTATAAATGCACAATATTTTTTTTATAAATTTCAAACATTTAATAAAAAAATTTTAATATACTAAGAGTATATGCCTTTAGATTAATAAGTTAATAAAAAAAAAGAAATAATCGATTCCTAAGAAAATCAATAGCTGCATCCCTATTCTTCCCAAGAGTTTGTACTATATATTATCATTCTTTGAGAAATTTGGTCTAAATATAGTAATTATAAGGGTTTAAATGTTGAATCTTTTTTCAAATAAAATTCTCCTTATGTGTGAGTGTGTGTGTGAATGGCTGTTTGTAATGTTTGTCTCTGTTTTGCCCTGTGATGGACTGGCGACCTGTCCAGGGTGTACCCCGCCTCTCGCCCATTAACTGCTGGAGATGGGCACCAGCACCCCTCACGATCCCACTTGGGATAAGTGTGACGGAAAAGGGATAGATTGATGTTTATTACCATATTACAGTTCCTAAATACATACATTGTTTATGTTTTATGGTAACAGTACATGGGCTGCATGCATGGTGAAGTCCCCCTATAATTTTATAAAATGGTGTTCCTTTTTGCTTTTTATCACTTATTCTAAAATACCATCTTATGTTTTAACCACAGACAATTAAACATATGTGATTTCTTCATTTCCCTGAATTTCCTGCTGAAAATAAAGTTAAATGACAAAAGAAAGATTTCACAGAAGAGAAGGAGTTTTCTAATATCCTGGCTGGAATTTTGCATGTCTAAGCATTCCCAGGCTTCTTCAAGAACTTTGCTATCTGTATATTGTTTGTAAAAAAAAAAAAAAAAAAAAAATGCTAGAGTTATTAGAGTTTTGTTTGACATTTAAGGAAACAGAATGTTGTTAAATTTATGTAAAAACCACTGCATTCGTGTCATCAGTATTATCACATTTCCAGTCTTTAGAAACTTCAAGACAAAGAAAGAAAATCTAAATCTTTTTCATACGTTTTCAGACTTGGAAAATCTTCAGTTAATATTCCAAACTTTTTCAGACGGAGTACTTCTGCTTATTGTCATCTCAGTCATCAGACCCAGATTGTAGACAATCTGTTGGGTTTAGCAGAAGACAAGACGTAAGTGAAGACCAGGGATGATCTAGAATGATAATGCAAACAGGACTTATCGATAATCCGTCTGCCTGTAGGTCCCAGTAGGGACCAAACCAGTGTTTTGCTAAAGGGTCGCTGCATGTGATTTCAAGCTGGTTGGTGCAGATTGAGAGCTTTCTGGGTGTTATTCTCCTGCATCATGTAATAACTGGTTGCCCAAAAACAATAAAGTTATGGACATAATTTATTGCTAAGCTTTTATTGCTTATTTCCCACTTTATTCTGTCTGTTTTCCATATAACATAATAACTGTTGATTTCTACAGGATTGTTCCCTTCAGAAAATCAAACAAATGTTACAAAACGAATCTAATAAACATTTTTTTCATAAGTTTATTATCATCCTTCACGGAAAAAGACCATCATATTAAATTGAGATCCTTTAATCATCTTCCATTCTCTGCCTTCGTTTGATATTGAAACATTTTCATCTCTGAAATGTTTATTAGTCTAAAATAAAAGCAGCAGATGTTCTCTTTTTTTAAGCATGTACAAAAACTAAACTCTCCTTTAAATACAGCAAATAAAGAATTTAAACCAGAGTACAGTATAAGTTTGCAATGTTTTCTGAAAATACTCAACTTGTTTTCATAAAGTACCATCTGTCAATCAGAGACATGAAGGTGATCAATATGCAATCAGAGGTCACAAACCATTACATCACTCCTAACCTGAGACCTTTAGGTGTGACAGTGCAGTGCTCATTCATTTATATGGCAGAGAAGAGACACTGCTGATCCATCCTGTTTGTTTCTGCTCAGAGACTTTAGAGAAGTGGGTGTTGGTCATTCAAAAACACAGCTGCTGCTGCTGCTGCTCTCTTTACCTTTAGGTTTGTCACCTCCATTCTTCTGGTCCCCAGCTGACATTGAAGTTCAGTTTTCAGATGCCCGTCCGCCCGACGAGACTCCTTTAACCCCTGAGGGCCAGCGCTGAGGGTGACCTGTGTACAAGGCAGGCAGAGAAGAGCGAGGAGAGCCAGGGAGGAGGCAGAGGAGAAGAGGAAGGAGAAGAAAGGGTGGAGGAGAGAGGGCACATATCCATTCTACTTACGGCTTTCCCCTTTTCCTCTCACACGCACTCTCTCTCCCAGACACATCCTCTGCCGAGAGGCCGGCAGGAAAGGGAGGGAGCAGAGGGGAAGCAGAGGGAGGGGATTGCTGCTGGATGATGGAAGGGAGGGGGGGGGGATCAAAAGGGGAGGAAGGGGCAGGGATGAGGAGGGAGGATGTGCTGCATTCAAGAGCCTGGGTAAAAAAATGGCCAACCTTAAAAATAAGGAAATTGGTTGGCCAAAGCAGCTTCTGAGGAAATGACTGTGCTAAATGCAATATAGAAGAAAAGATTGTGAATTTGACACAATGAATTCAAAAAGTTTTTACTTATACATTTTCTACGGTCCATATTTGTTTGACCATTTTTTCCTATAATCTTTTTGCTGCTATAAACACCAGAATTTCCCCATTGTGGGACAATAAATGGATTTTCTATTCTATTCTATTTGAAATATGAAAAAAACAAACAAAAAATTTCTATTGAGAAGTTCAGTTTTACTTGATCAGCCATGAGGGAAGGTAAAGCATTTAAGCAACAAGACATTTCCAAAGTGATGAAACCAGGAGAAAACACATCAGAGTAAAGTGAAATGGCCTAATAAAGGGAAGAAATGTGGGATTGGAGACTAAAATTATTGATATTTTGATTAATTGTTTAAATAGAACAGTCGACAGCAGCTTTAAACAAATCGTTTTTTAACCCTAAAGAATGCCAATTATTATAAGAATTAGCTGGTGATAAACCGATGCAGGCAAGCAGACTGGTAGCAGGCTTTGAGCATACTGTAAGCAGGTAGAACAAACTGGCAGAAGACGGAAACATTCCAGGATGTGACCAGATTCAGAAGCCAACGAGCATCCAGGCTGAACACAGAGACACAGGTAGGCTGGAGCTGCAAACTGACACTGGAGGAGACAATCTGGTGAAGACTGGTGGAGAGTGGCAGGTATTGATAGAGATGATAACAGCTCTGAGGAATGACGGTGATTGGGAGAGAGGCAGGTGCATCTGTTCTCTATAATTAACAGAGTGGAGAAAAGCAGTGGGAAACAACCAGCACCCCAAAAACAACCAAACAGGCAGGATTTGCATGATCTGACCCACAAGTCGACTCATCAATGAAACTATCTGTTGAATACCCAAAACATTTAATCATATCAATTAACCATGAGTCAAATGATTTTACAAACAAAATCAACAACCAAAGTAGTTGCTTTTGTCCTTTTTTAGAAAGTAGTGCTTCTATAAATTAATTGAACTTTATTCCTCACACTGGAGAAATTCACCTCTGCATTTAACCCATCCCCTTGGGGAAGCAGTGGGCTGCCACTCGGCGGCACAGTGTGGGGTTAAGGATCTTGCTCAGGGACTCAGAGTGCTGGCTGTGGGGATCAAACCGGGTAGTTGCAACCTTCTCAGAGCACAAGCGCACTGCTCTAACCACTAGGCAGACACTCCCCATGAAGTATTTTAACATGAACTGTTATTGTTGTTGTGTCATTCTGTCCACCTTACATTCCAGCGCAACAAGCGACCTAAACATACATCGAGAGAGTACAGATAAAGAGAAGAACAAAGCTCATTATTTATAGGCTATTAAGATGGTGTGTTAAAACCCAAGATCTAAACCTAACTGACATTTGCCTCTTATTTTTTCCAACATTGCTGACCTTGAGCTATTTTACAACCAAGAAAAGCAAAAACAAACCCAACAGTTAATATGTGTAGCACCAATTCTCATAAGCCGAACAGATCCAATTGTTGTACATGAATATATAATCTGATCAATGAGGCCAAATCGTTATTATGAAAATGAATAATACATTTATTTCCGGTCTGAGTTATAATGAAATCTAATGTGAAGTTCAGGTTCCCAAGAAATCCACTCAGTTTCATTCAACAATCCTTCATGCAGAGGATTTAAAACTGTCTACAATAAACTTTCAGTTTCTCTGAACATTAGGGATTGTTTTTTGTTTTGCTTCAGCAACGCTTCTTAAGTCATAAAAGTCCCAGCATGGTAAGACAAACACAGGGAATGAGAAAAACAAAACAGATGGTTAGACAAGGGGGTCAGTAGGCTTGAAGCCACTGGGGGAGTCTTTAATACTGACATAGGGAGAGCAGTTACTGGAAGGAACAATGTATAATGTATAAGACATTACTCCACCACCCAGTGTAACAGAAGGGAGGACACAGGAGTTAATGGAGCCTAATGATCATTTCAATGAAAGACAGTTTGTAAAGTCTCTGCACGTAATATCTATCCGTCTCCGTCTGACCGTGACTGGTCTCTGCTGCTGAGCAAGGTTTGATGAACTTCAGAGCGCCTACCTGACCCCCTCCACCCCTGTTTACGCCGCAGAGCTTCCCGGACTTATTCAGAAAGACAGCAAGGAGTTTGCCAAGCAGCTCTGGAGCTGCAGCTGGCACAAACAACAGGAGCACTGGGATCATCGGCTTTTAGGTCAGCGCTAAAGGTTTCCACATGCCTGTCGAAGTTTCTCTACTGAGCTGTGAGCAAGAAGCAGAGGTGTTTAACTTTAATGTAACTGACTGACCTTAAAAAATATTCTTATCTTAATCAAATCTTTTTAACAACTTAAGAAATAATAACTACATAGAGCCTGACAAGGTTTCCATTAGTAGAATAGAAATTATAGAAAACAAATAAAAGCAGGTATTTTGAAATTGCAGTAATTCTGCATAAATGTTTTTAATGCCCTCAATTGTAATTATGTTCAGAGAATTAGGACTTTGTCTTAACCACGCTGTTTGAAGTCCTCTCACCAAATATATTAACTGTTGATGTTTTTTTTTTTACAATCTAACCATTCAGTGTTAAGCTGCCAGTGTATTTTAGAGTTCATTTTAAAATCCTTCTCTTTGTCTTCAAGGTTTTAAACAACCTTGCCCCCCCCTTACATCACAGAACTAATATGCAGATGTGCTCAGGCTAAACAACTCAGGTTCGCTGCCCCGCTTCTCCTGGTTGTCCTCACCTCCAAGCGGAAGCTTAGAGAGGAAAGGGCCTTCTCTATCCGGGCCCCTAAGTTATGGAACACAGAAGTTATGGAACTCCTTTTTTTACTTTTAATTTCTCTATTACCCTCTTTTATAATAAATTGTATCCATTTATTGCTCCGTTGTATTTTATTGTTTTATTCTACATATGTTTAGCTAATTAACCCACTGTAAGGTTTTTTTTTTTTTTTCTTTGTTAACTTTGATATGCAGCACTTTGTTTCAGCTTTGGCGGTTGTTAAAGAGCTTTATAAATCAAGTTAATAGAATAAAATTAAAGACAGGGTACACCCTGGAAAGATTGCCAGTCTGTTGCACTCTTAATTCTACTATCTTATTTCATCTAACAAAATTACTGAGGAAACCCTCCCAAGACATTACCACTAGTCAAAGCTGCTTTAAAGTAATGACTAATTTGAAATTGCTGGATGTTAATTGTACCCAGATAAAATGCTCAGCTCCAAAATCCACAAAATAAGGTTGTGCACATTAGGATGTTTCAAACAGAGCACACATGAAGAATTCATTTTTGTTAAACTTTGCAAAGTAGGCTTTGAATTATTTGTGGTGGCTAGGAGCGTCATTAGATGCCTATGCTAAATGAATGAGCAATAGCATGCTGCTTCCTGGTTGTGACGGGCTCCTGTCACTTTTGTGAATGAATCCCTGTCTAATTGCTGTTTTCTTCTTGCAGTTGATTGGCTGGGGAGAGTTTAAAGGGATCAAGCCCAACCCACCAGGGGAGCGAGGAAGTTTGGGAGTACTCCTGTGTGGTGGCGTGTCTCCAGGCCTCGCTCCTGCTCCTTCGATGTATTTTTTTGTTTGTTAACCTTCCCTCGGGTTGTTAGGTCTGGGGACCGTTGGCCGAGCTGTGGTTTTCCGGTTTTTGGTTGTAGGGCGACTGATCCGGCAAGGCAGGGCGAGGGGAGCGGCCCGAATCCGACGGTCAACTGCTGGCTGGTTCGCGAATGCTCCCATCCTTCTGTTTATTTGCCACGGTTCCCCAGTACCTCTATGTCCAGCCACAGTCTAAATAAAACCTTTGTCTGTGTAACTTGGTCTGGACTTCATATGTTGTGTGCCCTGTGCGGGCCGTAAGACTGGTTCTACATAATTTCTTACTGACAGCATTTTAGTACTTATTACGTCCTTCCACTGTGGCTTAAATGTCCTTACTGATTTGAGTTACTGTCCACTTTTACACCATCAGTTGTTTTCTGCTTCTCTTTCTCCCGCTGCCCTAAATCTATGCATTGTTAAGATTTCCTGTGTCTATTTAGGCCTGATGAGTTTGTCTATCTCTGATCTACAAGGATCTATTGATGGTTTCCTGTGAAGAACTTAGAATCTTGTCTGTGTTTTTCTTCTGATAGAAGGTACCAGTAGCCCAGTGCTTCTGTTTTGTTGTCTCACTTTTCTAAATGGAAAGAGGCGACCTAAAGTTGACCGAAGACTGCCAGAGATCTCTCTCCCACACAAGGACAGAGGGAGGCTTGTCAACCCCGGCATACACCAGCCTCTCAATATGGATTAAGCTTGATAAATAACTTATGAAAAATCCATGTCTCTGTAAGTGTTTTGACTTGGCCGATGAACGGGTACGTCACACAAACCACAGACTGAGCTATTGCTGGGATAAACTCTGCAAACAATGTTTTTTGTGTTGCATTTCTTGCTTGTCTTCTCGTCCCCTAGCAAGTGGCAACAGGTGGCAGCTTGTACCTCGCTTTGTTCTGCTGATTGTTTAATTAAAAAGTGGTGGTTCCTCCCCACTGTCGCCACATGCTTCCTTAGGATGAGGGATTGTTCGAAAGTCAGTGACTCTGTGCATCAGTTGGGCTTTCTAAGGTAAGACCTGTTTTGAACCGACCACAATGGCCATTATGATGAGCTGAATTTGTCTGTACGGGGACATAGTTTGTGGTTAATTGGACTGTATTTTGATCTTTATTTGATTAAATGACTTGGTACCACTGGCATAAAGTATGGCATATAGTTTTTTTTTTTGTTCAATGTTGTGTAATAAACCAAAGCAACAGGATC